GAATATAATTTGCACAAAAAGGCAAGTTTGTACTTTGACGCGCTTCTCGCTCGCCTACTGTTTTTTAAATATTGTGAACAAACTTAAAGCGGAACCAGAGAAAGGCGAACGAGGGACGCGATAAGATAAGAGTGAGCAAAATTGATAGATGAACGCAAAATTCTTATCTGCGTCATATTTGTTTTAGTATAGCTTTTTTACGTTTCTGTTTTTAGCTTTTTTGTACCTTGTCGGCAACGAGCGCCCAAATCTAGTGCTCGTAGCCCAATGCGCACCTGAACCCGCAAAGCGTGCAGACAGCAATAAGTTATAAATATATATATTTGTTAACTGTATATACAGGTGTGGGTGGGTGTTTTATCGAAGAGAACTCACAGGTGGCTGCCTGGCGAGTTCAACGATATGATAAGCTCGGTCGCGGCACTCAAAGTGCGAGCAATCGATTGCAATACGAATGCTCAAATACATACATATATGTATATTGTTATATATTATATATATTTTGCATAGGCAACAGTGGCCACTGGGTCAGACGGAGATAACGGAGCGCGTGCTGGGGCAATTTAGTCTTGCATACAGCTGATTGTGGCTGTGACATTAAACTTACCTCGGCCTCTATCAGCTGAGTGTCCTCTGGCGTCGAGGGCAGCGGGCAACCGGCATCATCTTCTTCAACGAGCTCATCGTCATCCTCGAGCAAATCTAGATCAAGGCCACTGGGACTGAGAGAATCCTGTGGTCCCCAGCCACGTCGTTTGCGCAGTATCATTGACACCTGTTCAAAAATATCCTCATCCACATCATCGGCAGCGGGGCTCTGCGCCACAGGTGTATTCGTCATCTCTGCCGACGAGGCCAAGCCAGAATCCTGATCGTTGCCGCTGGGATTGATGCTGTTGCTGGCCGTCTCCTTATCGCTGCCAGTGCTAATGCGCTCCAGCAGATTTGTAGAGGATTCCATCACAATTGTCTTAGCCTCTAAACGAATGAGCTGAAGGAAAAACAAAAAAATATACAAATATAGGTATTATTAAAATTTAAGACAAACTTTTAAATGGAAAATTTTTTTTTTTTTAGAAATTCGTATACACAGAACACACACATCTAAAATTTACAATAACACTCTAAATCGAGAGTTGAAGAATCATCAACACAACAACAAAATTTACATCTTACAAATATCACCGTAATTCGACCTTTGTTCCGCATTTAATTAGTCTCATCCGTGAATATGTATGTATGTATGTATATATACCAGTGCATGTGTGTATTTACCTGTATTATTGTTAGTTGAACATTTAGTTGGGGCAGGCAGGAAAGAGGTGTGAGATGTGGCGAAAGCAACAAATTACTAGAGCTATACTGCTGTAAGCTGTAGCGCTTAGGTGGCAATTAAAATATTTAAACCTTTATATAAGACCCTCAACAATTTTCGTCGCCAAACGCGTCAGGTGGGCAAAGAAAATTTTAGGATGAATAGAATCACCATTACTGGCTTGGAATGTATCCACTTTTGTTAACGTCATTTAATTAATATTCATATTAATATTCAGAATATTTCATCTTATATGCATATTTTCAAGGTTTTTGTGTGGATACTGGATATTTTTATCACGTTAAGGGAAACTTCGTCGACTTCAAACCTGAGCTCTGTCTTAATACTTAAGCGTATTGATAGAGTAACGTTTATGTGTTTTTTATCAACTTACCTTTTTCCTTACTATCAAATATGATGGGCTACTCCGTGGGGGAAACGATCCGTATGGAGTGCAAACGGAAAGTTTTATTAAAAAATTAGGCCAATTTGCGTTTTCCTCCTTCTACAATATATAAAGAGTGTGGCCATACATCAGTATCTGGTGCAGCTTATTTAGTTCGACTTCAACTTATCGATGGTCGGTCGATATCTACTAAGCCTTTTCCATTCTGAACTAAATTTGTTTTATACATCTTATACCCTTTTAATATTATGAGCACAACTTGAACTTGTAAGCAAATAATATGTATTTAATATTAAATAACTTCACCGCATTGCCTTCCAGTGCTGGAAAGTCTAATGAATGTTTTTCGGTATTTTCCACGTTCCAGTTTGCGGCCCTACTCAGCTCAAATAAAAACAAAGTGGCTAAAAATAAGATATACTACATAACAAATCGTACTTCCTAACTTATGTGATAATCTTGTAAAATATGATAGCGTCAAATAAAGTCATCAAACACATATGTAATTTACTCTTTGTTAATTTATCGATTGTTATTTAATATGCTAATTGTTAATCGAACAGCTGTTACCAACAACCAAAACAAACATTAAAATTTCCGCCATTTCAAAGAGAGTTCCCGCTCTTTTACTATTTTCGATACGGATCGTGATCGGTCGGAGGCGTGTTAGTTCGGGAAATCTGTCTTACTGTACAACAGCTGCATTTCCTCATTTTTGCAATTTCACGAATAGCTTCGTTTGAAGATCTGCATATAGACTTACTTATAGAATACATATATTTTTAACGCACAGATTCTAGTTTGGCAGCGATGATGGCCACAGCAAAAGGAAGCGCATCCAATGGCCGAAAGTACGCTGAGGGCACGCAGCCTTTCACAGTGCTAATTGAGGGAAATATTGGCAGCGGCAAGACGACTTTCTTGAACCACTTTCAGAAATATGACAAGGACGTCTGCCTGATCACAGAGCCCGTTGAGAAGTGGCGTAATGTGAACGGTGTTAATTTGCTTGAAAAAATGTACAAAGATCCACAGAAATGGGCCATGCCCTTTCAGTCATACGTCACACTAACGATGCTTCAAGCCCACACGGCAGCCACTGACAAAAAATTGAAAATCATCGAACGCTCCATTTTCAGTTCACGGTAGTCCGAAAATGATGAACTCTAATTTGAATTCCAACTAACTTTATTTTATTGTGGCAGGTATTGTTTTGTTGAGAATATGTACCGCAATGGATCCCTGGAGCTTGGCATGTACAATACGCTGCAGGAATGGTACAAATTCATTGCCGAGTCGATACACGTGCAAGCTGATCTGATTATTTATTTGCGCACTTCGCCTGAGGTAGCATACGAACGCATACGACAGCGTGCACGCTCCGAGGAGAGCTGCGTACCCCTTAAGTATTTACAAGAATTGCACGAGCTGCACGAGGATTGGCTAATACACCAGCGTCGTCCACAACAGTGCAAGGTTAATTAAAGACGAATTTATTCGCGTGGTCATAAGAGTTGCTAAATGGCTTCTGTTTTTCTAGGTCCTTGTGCTGAATGCGGATCTTAATCTAGAGAACATAGGCAGCGAATATCAGCGCTCTGAGACGAGCATTTTTGACGCAATCTCTGGTGCGCAACAGAACCAGCCTGCAGCTGTGCTCGTGTCGCCCAGCAAACGCCAAAGGTTATCCAGTTAACGAAATGGTTTAACACGAGTTGGCTAATGACTCCATTTTAATTTGTTAGACTGCGATAAGTTAAATGCTAGTAAATGGAATCGTAGCTGAAATTCGCCAATTCTTTTAACGTAGAACGTAACTTTCCTATTTCACATTTATTTGTAATTCCAATATACATACATATGTACGTTTCAATGTGTGTGTGTGCACGCAGAAGATAGTTTAATTTGTAATTCAATTTATGACGCCTGCAAACCTGCTTCGCTATACAAATATATATCAACTGTATGTTTTATAAAACTAAACTCTAGTCTAAGCTAAACTATTTAATAAAAATATATTCGCCTATTAATTAAGGTTTATGTATCTTTATGTATCACAAAATGTATCTCAAGTAGCTGCATCTATTTAACAATCGATCTCTGCGCCGCCGTTTTGTAGAACTGCCTCCACACGCCATGCCATCGTCTCGTATAGCTGCTCAATCTTGTTGACCAGCTCCTGATCGCTGTGCCAGATGTCGTAGAGCACCGATCGAAATTCGTTGACATTTTGAGGTGCCTGATCCTGTATCTTGGGCTGTATTATGTTCATTAGTTGCTCCAACAGATTCAAGTCTTTGCAATCACCGCAGTCCGGGCCCAGCAATGTGTCCACATATATTTCCTTGGGCATTGTGCCCATCGTAGACTTGTGATCGTCCATGTTGAAGATATTGCGCCAGTCCTGCACGGTCCACTCCGCATGAGCGCGCGCCCATTCCAAGCGCCGTTGCCGAACAGTCGCACTCAGGGTCCTGTTCCTTGCCGGAGACTGGCGCGCCCTAATCTCACTGATGCGTCGTTGTAGAGTGCGCCGACTGACCTCAATGCCAAATTGAGTCATTAGCTCGCGCTGCACATCTATGGACGTGTAGTGTGGATGCTCACTCAGCATCTTCTCCACCAATTTGCGATTCTCGAACACCTTCGGCCGTCCCACCTCTCGTCTATTCTGTAACTCCGGCAACGGCCGCAGCTTTAGCTTTGGCATTTTGCTATTGCTAAGTCCCGTTTCCGTAATGCAGCTGACCACGCTCTCCACATCACACTCCAGCATTTGTGCGATTTCCTCGTAGCTATAGTTATCCTTCAATGACTTTACAATGTTCCTCGTCACAGTATCGAGCACCATCGCGACTTGTTGGCCGTGCCAAAATCAAAGATCAACTGCCTTAGCTTCAGACTCAGCGGCATCTTTATATATACATATATCTGTTTGTAGTTGCAGGTAAATTTAAGTTTAACTTGCATCTGCTTGGGTTTATGACGTGCAAGCTGTCGAGGATTAACTACATATTTTATGACCCACATTTGCAAGCAGGTAATAACGGTTTCTACTTGATCCAGCCAACGTATACGATTTTTCAGAGGTCCGAAACTTGGACAATATTTTTGTCCAGATTATTTTTGGACCCTTGTATTTTCTGCACAAATACAACGATTAGATGATTAAGTCTTCCATCAAGTCAATTATCTCCTTAGAGAAGATCAGCATAACATTAACGATCGAAGTGTAACAACATTCATGCCTGATTCATACAAAAAGACTCAGATTTGGAATTTCTTTTCCGTACTTGCCATTTAATGTGAAGACGATTTCATGTTGACGTATTCGTAGAATTACAAAAATAAATGTAAAAAACTTGTACATGTGAGTTAGTTATTTCTACAATAGGAAATGCATCACTGCCAAATGTCAAATATTTTTAAAAATATATATATATGTTTATATATGTATGTATGTAGGCCAGTTATGTCTTTTTATATGCACACATTCATTTGCGACGACTGCCATGCGAAGTACTACTATTCATATTGTGCCAAAGGCCTCAAGGCCTTTATAGAACGTATAACATAGAGGGAGGGCTGGCTTTTAGCTGGGCACTAGTGTGTGTTTAAATATAAATGGAGGAAAGGCAACCACATAAGCTCTTAGTGAGCCCATCTATATGCCAATGGGTTTGGGTGAGGATTGTTAGGGTTAGTAGCGGTAGCTCGATTGGAATTATACAATTTAATAAATAACGATAAAGTATGCCTAATTGGATTCCTACATTCATGTGGCTAGGTTTTGATTTGTTTTTGTTTTGTTTTTTGTTGTTTTGTTTTTTTTTTTTTTTTTTAGGTTTTTGATTGTTTTTGTCCCGGCGCAACCAAGTACCAAGCAGCTGTGTTTGATAATATTCTGTCGTTTGTTGTGGGCGCCACGTTAGTCATCAAGATCAATATCGGAATCATCGGAGTCATAGCCGCCGCGTATTGTCTTCTGTGCGCGATTTATGAACGGTTTGCGCTTAACATCTGGTGGTTGCATTAAGTCACCTTTGTACTCAATGGCGCCTGAGTGGGCGATGCGCCATTCAAGCATCTCTGTGGAAAAGTCATCGCAGTTACCCAAATCGGTGAAACCTACGATGAAGTCCTTGGTTTTACTATCCTTAACCAAAGCTATTGTTGGCAGCACTTTGATGCGTAGACGTTGTGTCAAGAATGGAGTCTTCTCGGCGTTCACCTTGCAGAATTTGGCCTCTATATGCTTGGCAGCGAGTATTTTCAGATGCATGTCGACAATGCGACTGCGTTCAGAGCTATCTCTATAAAAGTGACACACAATATTTGGCGACTTCTTGGAAACCTCGAAGAACTCCTTCTCATCGGCTAGCTCAGAATAGGTGCCATGACCCTAGAAGAAACATAAAATTAAAATTAAAAACAGAGATGGGATTCTTTCAAACTCACGTTTCTTAACCACTCCTGCTTTTTATTGTTTAGCTTTTTCATTTCCTGTATGCGCTTCTCTCGCAGGGCTTTCAAATCATCCGAGTCAAAGCTGTCCAGACGATCGATCTCCTGATCCAACTGCTGCTCAATCGCTTGTGCCGCAGCAAACAATTGATTTTCCACTATTTGCGCCATGTCTCCAATGTGTGTTCGACTGTGTAGGAGGTGCACTTGCTGCTGCTGCTGGTGGCGACTATATTGTATCTATTTTGACTGCTGATGCCTGATTGTGCTTGTTTGTGTGTGTGTCTGAGCAGTACGCACTGCGTGTTTACGTGTGCGAGTGTTTTACAAATGTTGTTTGGTGTATGCGTGTGCATGTGTGTTCATGTGTGTGTGTGCGTGTGTGTCCGGCATAAATGAAAGGCGTATCCAAATGCAGATGCGTCATGTTTTGTTGAAAATTCAATAAAGTAACCAACATTAATACAAAAGAACATTGTATGTGAGCTGAGGTTGCCATAAATCATACACGGAGCAAATACTTACATTAATTTCACACTGATTTCATTGATTTTTAGAGAAAATTCGAATAGCTTATTTATTAGCTGTGTGGGATGTCGATTGTACAAGTGAATCGATTACCTTCACAATCGGTGTGGCTGCATTCTGAAAACATAAAAATGTCGAATTAGTTGTATGACACACAAGAAGTATTTAGCAGTAAAAGACGGAATAAACATGTCATGCCAGCCCAATCTTCATGTTGTTTTACACCAAAAATTAAGCAGCTAAACAGCTATTAGAAATTAAAATAAATGATAATAATAAAAATTTAAGACACTAACCGCACCAAACAAAAAATTGATTTGATATGAGCTCACTAATATTTGCTGATTTAAGACGACTTGATGATTGTTTTTATATGCCGGTGACACAAATCTCCCTGTGAATTTAAACATGACCTATTTGAAAATAAAACTTGGTATTTTTATGTACGTTGTATGTGTGTATTTATAAATTACTGCCCATTTAGTATGGTAAGTACAAATACAGTATGAATATGTATAATTTTAATTTTTCAACCGTTACCCATTTGAATGATAAAAATTCGAAAATTAGCCTTTTAATCTTTCCATTAGTCCTACTTTGTCACGTAAGCTCAAATCGGGGTGCCGACTGGAATCTTAGAATAATTGTCTAACTTTAATAATTGTTGATCACTTGCACATAATATCTAATATTTATTCCATTCCCTTGGTCGATTGTAATGGTTATGCAGCTAGTCTAAAGACACTTTAAGCCCGATTGACTGACGCGGGACGCATTTTTGTAGTGCGCGCTTTATTTAAATTTGTATAAAAATGAATCACGTTGATAAAATGATAAAAAATTAATCCCATTAATGCAACTTTATCCAAGTACAAGTATTTATATATTTTTTCTTCCATATAATCAAATATAATATTATATAGATGTATCGGTTACAGTTAGCTATAAATTGTTTGATGTATTGTATTCGAATGGGGATGCGATTGGATTGTCTACTCACTCTCCTCATTATCTTCTACAGACCGCTCCAAGCGATTGGCTAATTTAAAATAAAAATTAATAAATTAATAATTAATACATATAACTAAATTTTAACTATTTTTCATACTAAATGAGTTTGTTATATCCTCACGAATGGCATCTGTTAAATTGGTAGCTGCTGCGGTAAGTTTATCGATCACAGCTGAAATACAATTCAACATATCGTTTCGTTGATGTTCAGTCAATTCTGAAAATAAATTTAGTTTCGAGTCCCAGAAATATAAAAGTTTTCCATTCTTGCCATTCGGTGACAAACAATTCTCCAGCTCTATGAACATCTGCAGGAAAAGAATGAATTTTAAAAAGTATATATTTAGTATATATTTAGTGATATGTGTATAATCCTCACATCGATCAATATTTCATGGAGTTGTTTGGTTTTCCAATAATTTGTTGGCCTCGCATCTATTTGCCAGAGTAGTAGGGTTTTGATGTAGTAGCTCTTCAGGGTGCTAAGATTTTGCTTTGAGTCGCGAAACTTCTTCATAAGCCTGATAACCTCCTTTAGTTTATAATTGCCTTTCAGCATGGCGCATTCGGCCTCATCGTAAGAAGCCCTAAAAAACACATTGTTGCCCTGGAATTGCTTTAAGGGCTTCGGAATCGCGCTCCAATGGGAGATATTTCGAAAATATTTCCAACGCTCTTGGGCCAAAACACTTTGTTCTGCTTTCAGCCTGATGGCTGGCACAAAGTCCACAGAGTACTTCATATTGCGCTCATTAATAAACAGCGTAAATGCCGGTCCACATCGCCTATAGACGAGTGGCGTCACTTTACCATCGACTTCGATTTGTTTATTCATCTTATTCAAAGCTCGCGTTACAGCGCCGTTTATCAAGTCCTGCAACTTGTTCTCGACCAGAAAATTTTGACGACTCACGATGTTCTTCAAATTCACGAAGGTGACTTCATTATGATGTTGCTTGTGCAGCACTTTCAGCACATTCGTCATGTCCAGGATTACATGGCCAGCTCTAGTTTTGTTCTCTCTCACAATAATCTTGTCATTCTCTGGAAATGTCAAGTGCAATACCAAATCAAACTCATCGGGCTTGGTCACTTTCAGCTTATCTGCGTAACTTCCTGTGTGTGGAATACATAGAGAAGACGTAAGGTTAAGGATAAGATGAGAAGGTCATCAAGAGATGATAAACGTTTCTATAGACCACACACCACCTAGCTTATGTCCGCATAACCATTTCCCCAGTGGCTCCTCCTGCCTTAGCATGGAATAAAGCTGATCACGTAGCCTGCCATAGTGATGGGTGTACGATCTTCGATTTGCGTCAATATTTATAAACTTTGCGTTCAATAGCTGTAGATGTTGCTCCAAATTGGCCATTTTTGACACGCCAATTGCCTATATCGATCCTCACTTGAACAAAGCCAAATGCAGACTAAGCGCGGCTGGTAAACAAAACAAGAGAAATATCAAATATGAGTGCTCTATTCAAAACTGCTCGCCCTGTTCAACATTATTTATACTTTATGGGGTCTGTTTCGTTCTCCTTCCTTCTCCATTTTACATACATTTTCATAAACCACTATACCCTGATTCGCATTTTGAATGGGTTCGGCGTATAAGAGCCAATGAAATTCGAATACAGTTATTGTTTACATATGACATAAAAGCTATGAAATGAGTATAGCTTGCTTGAGCTTCACAGAAAATATTAAATAACATAACAGAAATATAAATAACAATTTTACATGGTAAACATTGAGTTGAAAATCAGAGGCTACAACAGCTAATTGGGAATCCCCCCAATACTGTTGAGCTTCAATAAGCCTCTGTCAGTCAGTCAATCAGTTTTTTCATTTTCAATATATTATTGATCGAGTTCATTCACAAGAAAAGCAAAAGCCAATGCAAATACAAGAAATGCTTTTGAAATCTGATAATTGATAAGAGTATGAATAAAACAACTGATGCATATATACACACATGCATGTATATATATTCACATACATATATCTCTGATAAGCCCATTGATCTGTTGAGGCCCCCCAGAAAGTACTTGAAGATGTTCATAAATAAAAATGTTTCAAATTCTTTGCATACAGTTGACATTTTTATGAGCGCTCTTTACGATGCCAATTAGAGATGCTTATCCGGGCTTTGAGCGGATTTCGCTGGCATAGACTCCCCGTCGCAGTGGTCCCCAAAATAAACAAATTAATGTTATTATTATTTGCGTATACATGGGCTGCGTGTTGCCCTCAAAATGATAACGTACGTTGGGTGGCAGCTGAAGAGCTGTCGTAAAACTCTCCGTTCGATAATCGGGATCCAGATAATGGAGCGGCCTGGGAAATATAAGGCCTGCACACAGCCTGGGGTGCACATAGTGAAAGTGAAATTGACGAAATGATGAAGTACCTGCTAAGCGCCATACTCCTTCTGGCCACCGGTCTGCAGCAGATCGAGGCGCACGGCATGATGCTGAGCCCGCCGAGTCGGTCCTCGCGCTGGCGCTTCGACGGATCTGCGCCACAGAACTACAACGACAACGAGCTCTTTTGCGGTGGCTTATATGTGGGTCACGCAACCAGTCAAAAAAATGCTCCCTGCCCAAAACTCACATTCTCTACTTTTCATTTCATCCATGCAGACCCAGGAAAACAATGGCGGCAGATGCGGCCTGTGCGGCGACAACTTCTCGGCTGCGCAACCGCGCCCCAACGAGATCGGCGGCCAGATTGGCGGCAATGGTGTCATTACCAAGAGCTATCCAGCTGCCAATGCCATCACAGTTGGCGTCAAGATCACCACGAACCACCTGGGCCACTTTGAGTTCCACCTGTGCAACTTGGATGCCTTTGGGGGGGAGTCCGAGGAGTGCTTCAATCAGCATCGCCTGCGCTTTCCCGACGGCAGCGATCGACTTGAGATCGGCACCAAGGCTGGCGAGTTCGATGTGACCGTCATCCTGCCTGAGGGTCTCACCTGTCACCACTGCGTGCTCCGCTGGACTTACGTGGGTGGTAAGTGTACTGCTCTGCTGCAGGTATATCATAGACATACATATTTATCCATTTAACATCTGTGCAGCCAACAACTGGGGCAACTGTGGCGATGGCACTGGCGCCCTGGGATGTGGTCCCCAGGAGACCTTCAAGAACTGCGCCGATGTGAGCATCTACTGGGGCCGCAACATGCTAAAGGAAATGGCCCGTTCCGCTCCCGTTCCTGCCGTGCCAGAGGAGATCGACTCCGTAGAGGCTTGAGTAGGGCCAATGCCTGAACATTTTGTACTGAAAAGAAGCCAAATATTCAATTAAACCAAAGTTGTTTACTGTCAGCCTATATATATTTAAACAAACTAATTAAAATGATAATCGGCTTATCCAAGACATGAACCGGAACATCAATTGGTACATTGACCTAAATGTTGGTATTTTATTTATACCTTAGAGTTCAATTGATTACCCAAGACATCCACCGGAATACTATATTCGACCCATCTGTCGTTCTTTATACCTAAAATTTAACTTGCATTGAACTGCTTTTTTTGCGTAGTCAAGACACACACCCAAATTATTTTACAAGCAAACTTGCTTATCCAAGACATAAATCAATCATACATTCAAGGACAAGCTTAATAGAATATCCTGACTCTTTATTTATACCAAAGGTACCCAAGACATACACCAGAATATAAATAGAAATTGGAATAAACGAATTTATTGCTTCTATTTCCTCCAATTATTTCCACCAATTATTTCTTCTAAATATTTCTTTAAAGTATTTTCTCTAAGAATTTCCTCTAAGAATTTCCTCTGAGAATTTCCTCTTTGATGCTTAGCTGAACGGACATTGAATAGTTGCTTACACTTCACTTCACTTAACTTTACTGCACTGTACGAATGACTGAAGAAATGCTGCCGCTGCAGCCCTTTATATAGGGAGACTTTCACTCAAACACAAAGTCGACCTCAAATGTTAAGCCCGGTGCCAGGTCGGGTTCGTTGCAGCCGAGCCTTAAGTGACCAATGGGAACACTCTCTACTCTCTCCGGCTGCTAGCAGTTCGTTTTACTTAAATAAAAACACGAAACGAATACAGCTGCACACTTCTGTAGTCCTTCCGTGCCTCTTTCTTTTATTAGCCAGAGAGGGAGAGAGGGAGAGGGAGAGAGAGAGAGAGAGAGAGAGAGAGAGAGAGAGAGAGAGAGAGAGAGAGAGAGAGAGAGAGAGAGAGAGAGGGGGGGGAGAGAGAGAAACGGAGAGCCACTCTGTGAGATAGACAGGGACACAGACAGCGAGTCAGATATGCAGACAGACATACGAACAGATCATAGAGATCAGCTTTAAGTGACCAATGGGAACAGTCTCTGCTGCTGAAAGCAGTCGAGGTTTAAGTGACCAATGGGAACACTCTCTGCTGCTGTGAGCATTCTAGCATAGTTATACTTAAATATAAATACGAAATCAATACTGCCGCATACATATAGACAACTTGAATGATCATCTTTAGTTCCTCTGCTTCCCTATCTTTTGTTAGGCGGACAGAGAATAAGAGAGACTTTTGTAGAGTTCTTCAAATACTTATTATACGTGGTGAGCAAAGAGACGCAGAGTTTTTCCCCTAAGTGTGTGCACACATACACTCATGTTTCATGTTTGTATGCGTGCATTCTAGCATAATCCACGAATCACAATTGTTATTCAATATTATTTGTGTTGACTTTGCATTTGTATTTGCCACTGCATTAGTTTCTGGTTCCCTTGCTAGGCACCCCGACTAGAATTTTCTTACTTTTTATACCCTGAACCCATTGAAAATGGGAAATCAGGGTATAATGGTTTTGTTGAAATGTATGTAACAGGCAGAAGGAGGCGTGGCAGACCCCATAAAGTGTATATATTCTTGATCAGGGCGACGAGTTGAGTTGATTTGGCCCTGTCCGTCTGTCTGTCCGTCCGTTTGTTCGTCTGTCCGTATATATGAACGCGTCGATTTCAGAAGATATAAGAGCTAGAGACTTCAAATTTTTTTTTTAAATGTCCATAATTAAAAATCGATAACTCATCCCGTTTTTTTTATCGATAAAAACCCTTATCGAAAACCAGTTATAAAATTATATCTCCTACACCTTTATTGTTAGAGTCTCCAAATTTTTTATGTATGCTTATATGCAATTTCGGATTTTGCTAAAATTTACCCCCCCACCCCTATATCCCCTCACCGTCATGTTTGTAATAAGCGTATTTCAAATACTAGAGACTTGTGCTTTGGCAAATACATGAATATCTATGTTGTAATCATAATCTGAACGTTTCATGAAGATCGTATGTCCACAAAAAAAGTTATTAAACAATTAAGTTCTCATAGTAAGCGCACACTGCAGCCCATGCGTGGGTGCTTGTGTGTGTATGTGTTTGTGTATGTGTGTGTGTATGTGTATGTGTATGCGTCTGTGTGTGCGTACGTGCGTGTGTGTGTGTGTGTGCGTGTTTCTTGTGTAAGCTGAAAGACGCGAAAAATGATTGAAATAGCTGGTGCTCCAAGGGTTCAGGGGATCTCGTAGTCGAGCAGTCTCGACTATAGCTTTCTTACTTGTTTTTTATTAATCTGTGGTATAGATATCATGTATGTAAAGGGGAAGATAATCAAGCGACTCAGTTCGCAAATGGGGCAAAGCCATAATGATTTGTTATTCATATGTATGTATATAATGAAATCACAGTTATAACTCGCTTATCGACATTGGTGGCAATTAACTGTGAATATTGCTTGAAAAGATCAATAAATTCAGAAATAATATTAGTTAAAATATGAATTATATCAATAACAGTTTCTTCTCTCGAATATCCACTGTACCTAATATAACCCAAGATTCTCCTATATTAAAGCAATTCGGATATGTCAAATCATGTCGCAAATATTTGTTTTGTTTATATGTGTCATCGTTGTTTTGGAATGGTTCCTGTTCCCAGATATTACGATTCTGCAAAAATTGGGCGATTGTAAAAGCCGATAGAAGACACCGATAAGTGGCCAATAACGGTTATACGATCGCTTTGACGGTTGATAACAGGTGTACCAATTAGAATCAGAAGTCTTCACAGACGATAAGGCCTAGAAATGTGCAGATATATAAGACTCGGTGACTGGGACTTGGAGACCAGTGAAAAGAAAAGTTGAAAGTGAAAAGAAATGATAAGCCCCAAAATTATTTCCACTATTGCGTTGATGGCGTTGCTCAGTTGCCTGGTGAGGCAGGCCGAGGGACATGGCATGATGCTGAGTCCAGTGGGTCGATCCTCTCGCTGGCGCTACGACTCCTCAGCGCCCCAGAATTATGACGACAGCGCCTTGTACTGTGGCGGCTTTTGGGTAAGTGGACCTCAGCTCTGCTCCAGCGCCAGCTATAGATTCCCTTTTGCAGAAACAAACCGAAAACAATGGCAACTGCGGCCTGTGCGGCGACGACTACAGCTTGCCCACGCCACGCCCCAACGAGCTGGGCGGCAAGTTCGGTGCTGGGGTCATAGTCAAGAGCTACATCGGCGGCGGTGTCATTGAGATAAACGTGCTGATCACGGCCAACCATCTGGGCCACTTCAGCTTCCACCTGTGCAGCCTGGACGAGTTCGGCACCGAGTCGGAGCGCTGCTTCGACAAGTATCCCCTGCAGTTCCCCGATGGCAGCACCAAGTACTACATTGGCTCACAGACCGGCAGCTACGATCTGAGCGTACGGCTGCCCAGCGGCCTCAGCTGCAAGCATTGCGTGTTGCGCTGGACCTATACGGCGGGTAAGAGTTGCTATTTACATGCAGAGATATAGACTGAGCTCTAGCTGCTACCTTTCTCTTCAATTCTTCTTTTATATATTTTTAATATTGGTTCGTCTTTCATTAATCTTCAACTTAGGCAACAACTGGGGCATTTGCGAGGACGGCAGCGGCGCCATGGGCTGTGGTGCCCAGGAGAACTTCAAGAACTGCGCTGATATCACCATCTTGAGCTCAGCTCGAGGCATTATTGAGGACTTGGCGCTGCCAGTGATAGTGCCTGAGGCAGAACCAGAGCCAGTGCCAGTGCCAGAGTCTGTGGCATAGCCAGCACTGCTGCAGCCAAATAAAATCTGTAAAATCTCAAAAAGTTGTTAAGTTTCTTATATGTATATGTAGAGAGAGATAGATAGACCTTTCTTATGAATGCATTTATCATTTTATTCAATAAATCTTTTTTTATAATATATGTATGTGTATATATATACTATGTATAAACTTTGTTGCTTGTGAATTTGTTTCTGTTACTGAGTTCGTCTGTGTGGGTGTGTGTGTAGGTGTTTATGTGTGTGAGTGTGATTGGCTTGTGCGAGCCGTTTTTGTTAATTTATAAATTTTGTTACTCATTTTGGCGGCTAACCCGTGCATCTAATGACTGCAGCCTGTTCCTGTTCCTGTTCAAATGCAAATATCCTGCATCATTTTGTTGTACATGAGAATTGTGAATGGGAGGAGCTTGGAAAATGTGCAAAGGTCGCAGAGGGCACTTGGCTCTCACTCTCTGCCTTTGCACTAAATATTCAATATGAAATATCCGTATGTATGCTAATGCATAGTAGATGTACATGTATGTATATATATGCCATTGTATATATGTATATGTATATATGCATATGTATATGTATATGTATATGTGTGTGTATGCAATATTTGTAACTTGTTTGCTCGCTTACAACTAGGTTCACAATAACTGCTTAGTAATTAGGTTCACAAATAAGTTCTGTAAATGTTAATGTTAATGTTAATTCTTTCTTACAAAGCGTTCAGGTCGTTGGCAAATCAAAGAATCAATTATCCATAATATCCATTAATTCAATTAAGTAATTTTGCTACTGTCGCATCCTCGACTCGAGTGCCTCTGCTTAAGAATTGTGCAATCATTCACTTAATATAAGCACACGTCTGCGGCTAAATATATTTGTTTAACAATTAACCAAACAAATCGCAAACAACATTTTGCAAAGTTGACTTTCTCTCTTGGGTCTATTCACTATTTTTGTTTTTTATTTTTTTTTTTTTATTTATTTTTTTTTTTTATATTGTATTTTATCGTTTAAGGATTGCCACTAGTAATTTCATCAAAGTGTTAGCTCTATTTGGATTAATGTTCGTTAAAAACTCTTGTAACCCCAAAAAAACTACTTAAGTACATATACATTTCCAGATTGTTAAAAACTATCAAAACAGCTCGGCTCGTATTTTATTCTCTCCTCAACCCATCTTCTTTGAAACGGTGCGAATTGTTCACAACTGAATTATTTTTACTTATTTCTCTTTTTTCCTTTCTTTCATAATATTTGTTGTTGTTTTGGTTACGAGTGTTCTTAAAAGCCTTTTTAAAATACAGTTTTTGTTTTTGAAAAAATATAGTACATATACATACGTATGATTTATACACTTCCAAATCTGGTTTCTACAATAATTTTTGTTGTTGTAAAAGCACGTTGTAAATTTTGAACAAGCTTATGTAAAGTTTACTCACATTTTCTTCTTCTTATTCATTTTTATGTTTTTTTTTTTTTTGTGATTTTCCTTTTTTATAAATAGTTAAATATTTTATATTGTTTTAAAAAATTTAACATTATACAACACTATTTGTTTTTTTTTATACCTGAATTTTAGAATTTTGTATCCGAAACGCCATTTTTGCTTTAAGTGTGTGTGTGTGTGTTTGTGGGTCATATTCAAGTTTTGTTACTTTGTGTATTTTCTGGTAAACTTCTTCTTAAAAAATTTTGTCAGGTCGAAATTGTTTGTTGCCAAAAGTTTCTTTTTCTTCCTTGTATACTTTATGCCTTGTATTGTATAAGTTTGCTTCTTCTTATTCTTGTTGTTGTTGTAAACTAGAGCGTGTCAAAAGTTGATTGGTTGTGATTTATTTATTTTACTTTCGTTTGTTTCTTTTACATTTTGCGAATTGCCAAAATATTTGCGGCTTGCGCTTATCATAATTGACGAATTTCAATGCCGACAGAGTTCTGGAAGGATGTTGATTGGATTATCCGTAGGCTGCTTAGTTCATTTTTTTTTTTGTGGATTGGGTCTATTAAACTAGCTGGTTTGTATTTTACGTATTAAGTTTTAAGTTGTATTTTGTATACATATATATACATATGTATATATATTTGATAATATTTAATCATTGGCACAAATTCGCTATCTGAGTTGCTGTTTCTTTAGCAGTTGCTTGTTCATTAGCCTGGGATTATGTATATTGCAAAGTTTTAACAAAATTATTTAAATTATCTTGCATATATTTCATGTTTTTTATATTTATTTGCTGTTGTTGTTGTTGCAGCTGCTGTTTCACTGTAATAATTCACACGTCTCGTTTGATAAAAACTTTGTTTTATTTGTTTGTTTTGTTTTGCTTTTTTTTTTATATAAACATTAACACACTAAAATTTAATTATTTTTATCATATAAAATTTTGTTTTCAACTATATTCATAAAAAAAAACATAAAAGCTAAACGAAACTAGTTTGTAAATTATAAGTAAGTGCGGCTTTAAAAAGTTGTAAATCAATTCAAATTGGATTTTAACCTTTCTTCTCTTTATATATATATATATATATATATTTTTTTTTTTTTTTTTTAATAACTAACTATTACACAAATAAGAAAGTGTGTGTGTGTGTGTGAGTGTTGTGAGTTGACTGTCAAATTGAAAGAACTGATGCAATAAATAAAGCAGAAGACTTTCATTGTAAATATAATTATGCTCTACATAAGATTGCAACCAAAAGGCGCAAATTATCCCGTGACAGTTGCAACAGACACAGCACGATAAGTTGAATGCACACACACCAGATAATACAAAGTTGCTGGCATTTTGCGTCTCATAAGGTTGGGCCATTTGAATTGTGATTTGTTTAAAGCTTGTCTACGAACTAATTTTACAAACTAAACAGATGTTGGTATTGGTATTTGTTTTTGCTTTTTGCTTTAGTTTTCGTCTCTGTTGAAAGCCAGATGAATATTTAAAATTAATTGCAGTCACACACTCTATTTATGAAATAATATTAAATAAGTGACGCTACAAGGACAACTAAATTTAAACATATTATTAATAGTAATGGTAATCATAAAAACAATTAAAACATTCATAATTCAAGTGTATATAGATATATATATATATTGCAGCAACAGTGGAAGACAGTTTTCTCTGGCTTTTGCTTTTTCCATTTTTGTTTCTTTCTTCATTCAAGTTGATCAATTTGTTGATTTCTGTTTCATTATTGCTTTTTGCTTTTGCTGTTATTCTTATTGTTGTTGTTGTGGTTGTTCTTCAATATTTATGTGCTGTATACAATTTAAACATATAAATTTCATGTAAATCATAAAGAAACAACGATCTAAACTAAGCTAATTAATTATATAAATTAGATTTGTTTATTCAAATTAAATAGACAACAGTGTAAAAAATAGGGCCAGATTAATAGTAGAATAATGTACATACAATTTAAAAAATGAAATGTTTCCATGAAAAAAAAAGCTGACAATTTAAAAGCATTTTTACGTGCGGTTTTTGTTTCTCTCGAAAACCTTTAAGACTAATTAAATATATATATATATACATATACATAATATATATATATATATATATATATATATATATATATATATATATATTTATTTATATATATATATATATTTTGTATAAATATATATAAGTATGGTACAATACAACTACAATTTCGCCACACCGCTTACAAATTGTGTTTTGTTATCGATTTGTGTGTTTTAAGTTCATTTTTATACAATTCTTTTTTTTTTTTTTTTTTTTTTTTTTTTTTTTTTGTTTTTGTTGACTTGTGCTAAATACACTTCAAAATTAATGTGCAATTCGTATTGGGTTTGTTTTTTGTTCTTAATAATATTATTTCTTTTTGCTTATATTCATTGTGTTTGCTTGTTTATTGTTGTTGTTGTTGTTGTAGTTGTTTGTTGCTTGTTCGCCTGTAAATTAATAACTAAGCCATTATACAATAATGTTTCCATACGGTATATACTTCATATATTCTTCAAAAAGTTCTATCTTCCAACTGGTAACTTCTTCAATTCTGGATTTATTAAGCTGCTTAATAAATTCATTCCTACTCTCTTTCCTTCTCTACTGTCTCTCTGTCTCTGTTACGCTTGTAGTAAAAATGCCTATTGCAATTAAAAATTTTAATATATATTATTTTGTTTTTTGTTTTTTTCATCTCTTCGATTTTGCTTTGTTTCAATATAAACTATTTCTGTTGTTTTTGTTTTGTTTTACTTTCACATGTATCTCATACATGTACAGTATCTATGTGTGTGGGTGTGTGTGTTTGGATTATTTGTGTGTGTGTGTGCGCTGCTGCAATTATAAATTTTGTTATCCCTATTTCGTTTACTAATTTCAAGTAATTTGTCACTCGCAGCTCGATCCACTCAGATCCTGTTATCCTGCTAAGCACCGACCTTTGAGCTCCTTTAAACGTTTCCTGTGTTGTAGACAAGTTTATTGCTGTGGTTGCTGTTTCTATTGTTGTTGTAGTTGCTGCTCCGAGCGTCGTTGTTGCTGTTGATGTTGCCTTTGTTGTTTCTATTAGTGTGGCTGGTGCATACCTGTCGCATAATAATACGAAAAAACATCTATACAATGTTTTCAGAATAGAAAAGGGGAATTCAAATTAACAGTTTACAAAGAAAACCAAATGGAGAGGGAAACGTAAAAGGAGGGAGAAAACTTGGCTAAGTTGGGAATATTTTAACGTTTTTTTTTATACCCTGAACCCATTTTCAATGGGAAATCAGGGTATAATGGTTTTGTTGAAATGTATGTAACAGGCAGAACGAGGCGTGGCAGACCCCATAAAGTATATATATTCTTGATCAGGGCGACGAGCTGAGTCGATTTGGCCCTGTCCGTCTGTCTGTCCGTCCGTCTGTCCGTCCGTCCGTCCGTCCGTCTGTCCGTATGTATGAACGCGGCGATTTCAGAAGATATAAGAGCTAGAGACTTCAAGTTTTTTTTTTAAATGTCCGTATTTACAGCGCGGATATCGAGTTTATCACTAAAAATCGATCAATCATCCCGATCTTTTTTTATCGATAAAAACCTTATCGAAAATCAGTTATAAAATTATATCTCCCACATCTTTGGAGCTACAGTCTCCAAATTTTTTATGTATACTTATATGTATTTTATACAATTTCGGTTTTTGTCAAAATTTACCCCCACCTCTAATTCACTCCCTCACCCTCACATTTGTAAAAGGCGTATTTCAAATACTAGGGACTTGTGCTTTGGCAAATACATGCATATCTATGTTATATTCATAATCTTAAAGTTGCATGAAGATAGGCCATCCAGAAGAAAAGTTATTAAACAATTAAGTTCCCATAGTAAGCCAACACTGAAGATAATGCGTGTTTTTGCGTGCCTACGTATATCTGTGTGTGTGCGTGTATGTGTGCATATGCGAATAATTATTGAAATACAAGTTGCTCGAAGGGTTCAGGGGATCTCGTAGTCGAGCAGTCTCGACTAGAGTCTTCTTACTTGTTTTTTTTTTTTGTAAATTGTGATATAATTTTGATTTATACATATTTGCCATAATGAAAGGAAATAAATCTATCTGAACTGTCTTCATTGATAAGAATATTCATATTAAGGTATCTATCATCAAATTGGAATGAAAATCGTGTGAAAAGTAAGTTGATATTAAGGAATCTATTAACAAAACAGAGTTTGAAAAGTAGGTTGAAAATGTTGGAAGGGCATATAAATAGAACTATATACGTATAGTTAAAAGATAATTTATATATTTAAATATTACATTATCTGCAGAAGATAATGAGTAATAAACTAGTTAAATACTATCTATATTCTGCTCCTTTCACTGCGACAATCTAGTAAATCAATGGAAACTTAAATATTTGACTATGAATATTACATTCTCTAGTGCTCACAGATCTTGATATACTTTTACATGCACTCTCTCAGTGCTCAGGTGTTGCATTTCGTCAATTACCTGCCGACCCTCCAACGTTTGTTTGGCTGTTCAGATTGGCGCTCAGCGTGGCCGATGAGGGATTGGAGTCGGATGGCGTGTTGGGACCGGCCGAGTGCGGCGTCCTGGGCGGATGGCCCATGTTCTTCTGGCGCACCTCGCGTATCTTTAGCTGCAGGTCCTGCTTGCGTGGGAACACATCAATGTGTTTGGTCTGTAAGAGATTCACAGCTTTTAGCTTGAGATACAAATGATTTTTCTCTAGTTACACACCTGAAAAGCAATGGTTGCCTGAGCGGATGGGAAGACGCCGTGCTCGTTGAACAGTTGCATAACCAGATTGCGACGCGTTTCGAGGACCTTGCGGTGTCCCTTTTCGCTGACATCGGAGCGTGCGCTCTGCAACGGCGTTTTGGGTGTGCGCGGCGAACGGCCCGCTTGATCGCCGGTCTCCAGTTCTGCAGCAAATGGATGATTAGTTCCGGTTGCGTTTGTGTAAATGTGCGGACTACTTGGTCTTAGTTTACCTCTCAGATCATTGTTGAAGTCGGCGCCAAAGAAACGCTGTGTGGTTGTCGGCGGCGCCGATGCCGGCTCATCAATCGAATCATCTTCGCCCGCTGAACGAAGCAAAATTTGTATGAGAATATGCATATATGACTATATAACAGAAGTCTTCCTAGCGCATACGTACTTAGTTTTTGCACCGGTGGCTGCACGGCATTCTTTTTGCGATAGTTCGTGCCGTAGACACGCGGCGGCGACGGCACAGCAATGGCGCTGGGCGATTGGCAGTCCTCCGGCTTGAACTGCGGCAGCGCCTTGTACTTCTTCTCAAAGTCCAGTAGCACACTTTAAGGTTTAAGGAAAGGTTCAAGGTTTAGTTCTACGTAAAATGCAATGGGCGTGTCCCAACTTACTTGTTAACTTCATCGCTCTTCTTCTTGCGCGACACCACGGCGGGTGCAGAGGCCGGCACGCACCTAATGGGCGACTTGGCAGCCTGACTGTTCACATTGTTGCCGTGGATCGGGGGCGACAGCGGCTGCTGCTCGTCACTGTTGGGCGTTGTCGTCGATGAGGTGGGCGTGGGCAGGGCGGAGCTGAGGCTGCTGCTGTTCACCTCCATCATTGTGGGCGAGTGCAGCTTGCGTCCAATGTGCTGGCCATTGCTGACGCCTCCATAGCCGCCCGTGCTGCTGACCACGTTATCCGACTTGCTTTGAGCTGCATTTATGGACAGAAATGGATTACAATTGTCATTCAATAGAAATATCCAGCTGCTGGCACTTACATAAGTTCTTGCGCCGCTGCAGCGGAGCACATCCCAGCTGCGCTGGCGTCGGCGCCAGCACGAATTGCTGCTGGCCATCGGTGTCCACCTCGACATCCACGTCGGCGTCCTCGGCAGCCTCACTGCTGCCGCTGCGCTTGCCCGACGAGTCCGGCTGGGCGCTGTGATGATATGTCGCCGATTTGGGCGTCGAGGGCATCGACTTGAACGAGGGCGAGCTAGCCGGCTGCTGCTCCTGGCCGTGGCCACTGGCCGGGTAGCCGTGCAGGCGCAGCGTCGTCTGTGCCACAACTGATGGCAGTGGCGGCGGCGGCGCACCCTGCACTCCCAGGCCGCTGTTGTGCTTCTTGAAGAGGTAGCCAGGCGCAAATGCCTCCAGCTGCAGGTGCTCCAGACCGGTCGAGCCCTGCTGGTGCGGCGGCGGCAGCAGTGGATACTAAGG